TTGAAATATAAGTGAAGTAATAAGAAAGATATAAAGCAGAACAGAAAATGTGACTGCCAGAAGCTTGAAAGCTTAAGACTAAGCCAGAATCTAACATCTCTTCGAACTCTGCAGCAAAGAGTTTGGGGCTTTTTTTCTTTCTTTCTTTTTTTTTTGTTTTGTTTTTAGCAAAGAGTTTTTAAGATCATTGATCTACTTAAAGCAAGAAGAAGAAGGGGGACTGAGGATTACTGGTTTGAGTTGAGTGATCAGAAAAGACTTCACTATATATTTTTTGCATGATAAAAAAACTTGAAAAAGGTGAGAAAGTTTGCTGGACAAGAGCCTGGAAGAAGAAGGAAGTTCAAGGCATAAGGAACCAAAAGGGCAAAGATTCCTATGGGGGACCATTCATGATGTGATCAAAGACATAAAGAGCTCTATGTGACTAAAGGCAGCGAGTAAGGAGAAAGAAGCAAGAGATGGGATCAGAGAGGCGAGGAGGAGATGTAACAGTCTTGTGAGATCATCATGTAGGGCCTTGAGGGCTGCTGTTAGAACTTCAGCTAATTCTGAAATCCTCTAAATTATGAGGAGCTGCTGAGGGCTTTGAGCAGAGGAGTAGCCTGATGAGGAATTTTGAAAGATTATCCAGCATACTCGGATCTTCCTTACTATGGAACAAGTAGACTTGGAAAGAAAAGCCAAAGAACCACAAGTCCTTGAGTTGAATCGCTGTTCCTTCCAGTGGCCTTTGGCAAGAGTTGAGTGAGTAGCTATGACATGTATATGATTTATTCACAAACACATCTAAACATGATAATGAATGAGTGAAAGATAAAAAAATAAAGCCCGTGTTCACTATAAGAAGTCATAAAAGTTATGGTGCGTGTTCAATTGATTTCTGACTACAAAAGTTGATAGAAATCTTCTATTTCCTCCTCTTTGGTTCTAGTTGTTGGTGCATATATGTGAATGATAGTAATATTCACTGGACTTCCTTGTATGCATATGGATATTATCCTGCCACTCACAACATTTATTTCAAAATGAATCTACAAATGATTTTCTTAACTATGAAACTACCCCATTTTTCCTCACTTTTTCGTCTCCAGCATAGTAGATCATATGATCTTTTGACTCAGACTATCCCATGCCAGTCATTTAATTTTGCCAATACCTAGTATGTCAATATTTATGTGTTCCATTTCTTTCCTAGGAATGAGTACTTTTCTTACATTCATAGTTCTCACTTTCCATGTTTCAATTCCTAATGGCCGCTCAGAGGAGGGGTTAGGCGGGGCAGCTTAGAGGCCAGCCTCAGACACCTCCCATCTCCCCAGGTAATTGAAGACTCAAAAAACTGCGCGACATTCCTTCCAGCCCTCGGGCCAAGAAAAGCCTATCTACACACTGGTTCTACAGGATGCATCACCTTTACTCGGGAAACATTATGACTAAACTTCAGAGACATTGATCCCAACATAAGGAACTACCATCAGCTGATGTGTTTGGAATCACAGAAGCCATGGAAGCCTCATATATGTTATTAGATGGAGGGCTGGTCAAAGGGAGATAGA